TCCCTACACACAATAGTCTCTACCTCTGGAGGTTGTGGGCTCACCTGTACTTCAGCCTCCATCTCTTGCCCAAGAGAGCAGGGAAACTTTCATTCATTCCCCAGTCCAGCCGACTGTGGAGTGGCTGAATTTCTGCTGCCTCCCAGGGACGAAGACTGCCTTGGGACAGTCCGTTTTCCAACACGTTTTGGCCTTGGGACAGCTGGGAACTGTAGGCCAGCAGATGAGGAAGCCCCATTCAACCCAGTGAGTGATACCCCTGCAGGCCCCTCTCTGGAACTACAGGTCAATTAAACTTTATGTGGGAACATTTTAAAGAAAGAATCACAGCCATCTTACAAACACAGGAAACTGCCATTTTGTGACACCTACCAACAGCCACTGAATTAGTTAGTCCCACATGGGAGGCAAGCAGGAGAAGTGTCTTTGTCAAGAGAGAAAGCTGTTTGCCAGTAATTCTGACAGGGCACAGTGGCTGAAGGGGGAGTGGGCGGGAAAGAGGAGCAGACCCAGCACCTGGCCAATGGCACGTGAGTACTCTTGAGTGGCGGCTGACGGGCCAGTGGCTGAGGGAATGCATGGAATGTGGCCACTCCAAAACAGAATTATTATACAGAGATATATACAAAACAGGAACACATCAGTATCATACAACTTTGTGATAAGATACTGAACATATAAGATGCATAGAATGTCATACAAAAATACTTCTCAGTTATGTTGCATTAGAAAAGTGGATCATAACACTGAATTTAAATTAACCAACTACCAAATGTATCATACAACCTTTTAACTGTTAGATATTAAGCAAGTTCATTTGAACCAATTTTTAGGAACTACATTGTGAGAAGCCAAATAACCTAATACAGGAAACCACTTTACTACAAATTGGAATATATATCTATATCACTTTGAGTTATTTGATCAGTGATTTCCCCCTGATTATATAGAGATTACATATCTTGTTATTCCATGTATTTATGAAAGGCCTTGCCTTGTTTCTCCATTTAGCAGCTATAGCTGTTTTGGGTGCAATCAATACTGTGGTTATTAATTCTTTAGTAAATTTTGGTATATCTTGTTTAGAAATAAGAGTTCTGGTTCCATAGGTATATTAAAACCAGTCATAATATAAATCCAATTAAAAACCTGTTCCCAAAATGCCATTATAACCTTGCACTTTCACCAACAATACTCAAACGAACCCACTTCTCCACACATTTTCCAGCACAATGGAGCACACATGAGACAATTTAAGAGGGGTTAAATATCCATGAGATAGAATTTTAAAAGTTGGAAGCCTTGTATCAGATTTTGAGTTATTAAAGATATAAGATGACCAGATCCAGGAGCACTGATCTTCAGATAATTCCAACTGACAGCTCGTTTGCCACTTTTTTGATACAATGTCTGTTGAACACTATCCGAGGAGATCAAAATTTTATATGTTATGGAAAGAGTACCCCATTTCAGTATTTGTGCTAGAGCTGTAAAGGGCTGAGTAATAAGTTGGGGAAAGTTTAAACGTTCAGCTAGGTTTTTTAATGGAAGATATGTAAACCAATACAGAAGGAGCTGCGGTGGCTCAAGTGGTTAAGACGCTGAACTGCAGGCTGTGGAAGGGCAGTAGTTCAGCAGTTCAAGACCCGGGTGCCGCATGATGGAGTGAGCTTCCGTCTCTAGTTCCAGCTCCTGCCAACCTAGCAGTTCGAAAGCAAGACATTGCAAGTAGATAAATAGATACCACTTTGGTGGGAAGGTAACAGCGTTCCGTGCGCCTTGGTGTTTAGTCCTGCCGGCCACATGACCACGGAAACGTCTGTGGACAGCGCTGGCTCTTCGGCTTTGAAACGGAGATGAGCACCGCAACCCTAGAGTCGGACTCGACTGGCTTTCGAGCAAGGGAACCTTTACTTTTACCTTTAAACCAATACAGTTTACCTTCAAGCTCAGTTTTATCCACAAGGCCTCTTTTATTAGAGATGTCTATGAGCCTTTCCAATTTGGCTTTCCTCTATAATGAATAAAAGGAGTACTGATTTCCAGGAAAAAAACCATCCCTGATTTAAAAAGAAGACAAAACAGACTAACGAAAGCTGATATGGAGATTAAAACACCCCTAAGCACATCCCAGTTAATGTTACATCTCTGTGTTATGAGCCAGTTTGGTGTAGTG